TAAATGCATCTGGTCTTCCAATCTCTACACAATACTGCTCCGCAGCTGCATAATCCTCAAGCTTCCTGGCGCCCACCACATAAGATCTTATCAGCAACCACACATTCAAATTCACAATAAACTATATTTGCTCACTTCATAAGGTCTCAAAATCTCTGGTTTCCAGAACAGACAGATAGACAGTTTATTTTTGTTCTTTATAACTTCTTGGTCTAGTAAAGCGAACTTACAGAGCAAGAATCTGGAGAACCAATGTCTCCTGCCCTATCCTTCTGTTTAGAATTGCCTGTCCAAAAAGAATTGACATGTCAAATGGGCAAAACAACACATAATTTTGACAGCAAAAGATTCACTAAAATAAACAACATCAGTTCATAAACAGAAGGAAACAAATAAACAATGTCAACGCATACACCACCTAAATGACACTTTTTTAGAACCATTCATAAACAGAAGGAAACGAAAATATGACCAACAAACCTTTTCCAACCACAGTTCTGATCCTTCTATCAAATCCAAGATTTCTTCAGGATCATATAGATCTGAAGACTGCAAAAAGGTCTGCAATCTTTCTCGTACATCACTTTCAAACAAAGAAATACTTCGAACATTACAATCATGTGCCTCTCTGCCTCCAGCATTAGCTTCTTGGATACCATTTTGAACTTCAACACACTCAAGTGCTGATCTGGCAAGTGAGAGAGCATACGATGTATGCAGCTGAGGGTCAGTGTAGTCTCTTTCCTCAATCAACCATTGGAAGTACCTGGCCAGTATATATAAAGTCAGCTGAAATGTTTTTAGAACTTTCCCAACTTTGCTACAAATAACTCTAATGGACCTAACTCTCACAAGTTACTAGTCAGCTTTAACTAATTTTATTTAGGCTGTAAGAAACTATACCTCTGAATGATTTCAACCTTTTTGGGATCAATAGCTTGTATCACTTGCTCTGCAATAAGTTAAGAAACATAGACCTTTCTATCAGTCAAAAGTTTTAATATTTAATCCACCAATATACATATAATGTCATCTGCCAAGCCACTCAATAACCCAGAGCGAAAGAAAAAAAGTGTTAACTCATGTAAGCTTTTTACAACAATAATGGAACAGATGCCTATTTAAACGCTAATCTTAACTTTATTGAAGAACAGCACACTAGAGACATGAGACTGTATGCACGGAAAACAGTATGTTATCCTGAACCTAAAGCAGCCTTAGACTTCTTGCATTAAATTAGTCATCTCAGACTTCACCTAAGCCATTACTTATCAATACGAGTTGAGAATAGATCACTTCAAAACCTAAAGACACTTGCAAAATATTTCTAAAACGAACGAATGAAGATCGACATCGGACTCACAATCAAACACAAATGTCCAGTTAACCCTGATTCCCACCTGGCGTAAGCTCTTCTGTTCTTTTATCTGATGTCAAGACTTGGATAGCAAACAATGGGTTTATATCTGAAATCTAAAAATGATATATCCACAATCATCAATTATACTCACAAGATGCAAATCTTTATTGTACAAAGTTACCACAACTTGGAGTTATGTCATAAATATGTCATACCCAACTAAGATGCTGCAATGGCAGTTCTGGATCACAGGGTTCCTCAAGAATTCTGGCTGCTTCTGCGGCAGCAGCCTCTTTACCAGATAACCTAATGAGCTCGTTGTCATGTAAATAGGGCACCAAATCATCTGAGTCTTGCCAAAGACCAGATGAATAATTCTTTGTAAAGAGCCGCCAAATATCAAGAGCCTTTGCACTCATCCCCTTACTTGCATAGACGAATGCAAGTGTCCGTAAGTGTCCAGATTCAGTTAGAAGAGTCTCCAACTCCTCCTGCATCGCTTACACAAGTTGTAAAAAGTCCTTCCTCAAGCAACATTCTGACAATAAGCTCTTTGTAATTCTGTGCATTGTAATTATAAGGATCCAGAATATGTAAATTCCTTTATTTCCTCATATCGTTCATTTACATGAATCCTACAGTACCACAGTTAATATTTTCCAGGTAATAGCACTTGGGAAATGTCAGCATCCTAAGATGATTGTCATTGATACACTGCTTTCAAATACAGTGGTTACTAATCTGACACTCAGCTAAACAACTGCAAAACTGGCACAAGTACAATGCATACAAAAGCGCACCTATTCTACTAGGCTCTGAAAACTTGTGTTCTTCTACTTTTTAACTAATCTATAGCTGTCTTGCTTCAGTAGTTCTGTCAAACAATAGTTTATTAAATCCGTATTAGAGGTTTCTTACATCTTTCAGTTCTTAGTTTGTGGTGTCACCTATCAAGCTGATGCTATGCAAATATATATATATATATGCGTAAAATACATTAAGTTAAAAAACGTACCACAACACAGTTATTATCGGAAGATGCAAGATTCTCCATATCTTCAACACGGTTTAATGCTCTGTAAAGAAGCATTAGAAGGGTGTCGATTCCCTCCATCACTGGGTGAGTTAAGTCCTTCTCACGTGATATCTCGAGGTACCTTTTGCAACAGGTAACATTACCTCATTATTCACATCTCAGAGAACAGGGATACAGTACAAAAGTTGTCGAGGAAGTTACAATACACAAAAAGAGTATTTGTCTCACCTGGTAATGTTTTTAATTGCTGAATCCAATAAATCAGCTCTACTAGGGGGATTTGAGAAAAACTCTTCGTCAATCGGAGTGTCCATTCCTGCTTTTCTTAGAAAATTGGCTCTCTGGATGGCCAGCAACCCGTTATCTACAACATCTTCGAAAGGAGCAGGGGGAGGATGCAGTCCCCAGTATCTGTTTCTTGGAACCTGAAAGCAAGCAAAAGATTTGTGAAGCAGAGTGCAGTTATACAAGGCTTGAGGCATTAAAAATTCAGGTTTGCTACAAGTCAGGCAATGCGTTTAGTAAGGAAAAACAATGAACTGTGGTTGATTAAACAGTCAACTTTTAGAAACAATGTAAGAGTAAATTTCTAAAAACCGGCTGCCAGGAAAAAAAAATATACCACCAAAGACCAGCGATTAGGATCCCGCATGATAAAAGGAAAAACTTCAGAAGGTTCCATTTTTTCTGACTTCAAAAATTGATTCACCGCTTCCTCAAATCGTAAATCGAAAAGCAGTAGATACCCTATTTGAGCATGAAGAAATGAAAGCATTTCTTTTGAAATCTCCCCCTGTGAGTCAAGCTCCTCCACCAATGAAATGGCTTCTCTGTATCTCTTTTTCCTCAGGAGGTCTTTAATTTGTTCTTCATAAGGCACTCTCCGATAAAATATAAGCTGAAACATCACAATGAAAAGAGTCAACAGAAAAATCATGACTGTTTCATCAACAAGATATACTCGAGAGAAATGAAGATAGCTCTTATCAGGATAAACACCTTTGACAAGGAAGTAACAGCCAAAAGGTCTCCATCCCCTGCCTCATCTGCGGCCAAAAGTGAAGGTCCGCATCCTTCAGGGCCAAAACTAACTGATTGAACACAAGCACCCAACTTCTTCTGATGTATTTCCATTTTCCCATCTCCGACGGTCACCAAATAGAAAGACAATTCTCCAACAGAATCAGGCCTCCTTCGAAACACAAGGCTCCCTCCAATAGGCTGACCATTTGTGTCCACAACAACTCCAACATTGTCCACCAACAACAACACCTTCCACTCTTTACATAGCAATTTAAGAAGCGGGGGACCAGACACATTAGGCAATGTGAAAATCACCCCACTTTGACCAGTGACACACGAGATCAAGCTATAACCTTTAACAGTCCCCGCAATAACATAATCATCAAGCCAAACCAAAGTTTTGATCCCACCAATTCCAAGAATCTCTTTCAAAACAACAAAGGAACCACTTAAACCTTCTTTCTCATCACACTGAAGTTCAATCAGCAACATTCTCTCACTGATGGCAACAACGAAAACATAATGACCTTGGTGGACTCTCTCATGTCGAAAGTCCTTACCTTTGACGTCATTCACCCTATTCCCAGCGCCAAGCAACTGAAGAAACTTCTTGCTCGAGCTAGAATCACTCGAAACCTCAGAAGGCAATAAGTCAGTACTCGACGAGTCACGTCCTCTCACTCTCCTAGCAACCACATTGATCCCTTTCAATAAACCACCCAATCTCTTAGCAGGTTGAGAGAGAAGCGAATCCACCAAGAACAAGTACCCATTGCAGAGTGCTAGAACTTTCCCTCTTTCCTCTCCAAGCACAAAAATAGACTCAACAGGAGAAGCGCTCAGCGATACACTTGCGAGACGCGAAACTATATTTGTCGAAGTGTCGAGAGAAAGTAGAATAAGAGATCCAGAGAAGGTTCCTAAGTATACTAGGGTTTGAGAATCGGAGATAGGGGAGAGAGATAAAGCTCGGATCTTATCTTCACTGCCGAGATCAAACCGAGCAATGAGCTCCACAACGGCCCGAGATTTGGCCATGAACTAAACCAGATATGCGAAGTACAATGTTAGTGACCGGAATTGAGCAGAAGAGACACGGCGATTGAGAAACTCCGGCGATCAGTCAGGCCTACCGGCGAAGCTAAAGACAAAAAGAGTCGGACACGTTCGAGTCCCCGTTTTGACTTAATATTACAGCTTTCCCTTTGTTATCATAAAACCAAAACGATGTCGTTCAGGCTTCTATTTTACGGGTTTGAAACTGCATCGTTTAGGTACATCTGAAATGTTTGAAAGACAACGAATCAAGTTTCCTTATTAGAAATTCCAATTTTGGCATGAAATTAGAAATTCCAATTTTTTGTTTTAATTTCTCTGAAGAAAAATATGTTAACAATAAAAAAAATTGTTTTTTTTGAACATCTGAATTTGTTTTTTACAAAAATGTCGATGCGAATATTCGATATAATTATAATTAAATTTTCGTGATCCTAAGAACAGAGACACGTGGCGCTGTAGATCGCCAGAAGCCCATCCAAAATGTGCTAGAACAAAGCCGCGCCAATCCAAAAAAGCCCAAACTGAAGAAGAAGAAAGAAAAAAATTGGATGGCACTGCTCCAATCCAATCTTCGTCTTCTTCATCATCATCTCCATCATCATCTCCATTAAAGCTGCTTAAAATGCGCAGCCTCACTCTGGGTCTGAGTCTCAGATCCTCTTCCTCTTCTCTTCCTTTCACCTGCAACTTCCGCTTCTTCTCTCCTCCTTCTTCTTCTTCATCTTCTTCCTTTAGACTCTACAGACGATTCCATTTCCTCAAGCCATGTTCTTCCCTCAAGCAGACCAAGAAGAAGAAGCAAAAGTCTCTCCCGTCTACCGCCCCGCCTCCTCAGAGTTTTCGGTGGTTCTTCAATCCCAAATCCAGTGATGATAACGACGAAGACGATGCCAAGTCCTCGGCGGCTGAGAGCGATGACGGTGGCGGATCGGACGGGGATGCTGCTATTAAGGGCACTATCTTGGCCGGATTATTGTTGATTGGTACTGTTGGTGGATTCGCCGGCGTTGGATATGTCTATAGGGATCAGATCAATACGTTCCTCACTCAATTCTCTACTTACATCGAAGGTTCGATTTGGTCTTCATGTGCCTGTAGTGTGCTATACATTGTTGAATGGGTGATGTTTATAGCTTCCAGTAGTATTCTGAACTTGGTGACAGTGTCCTTTTAGATTGTGATGATGCATTTAGGATAAGCTTTTCACCAATTTCACAAGTTGACCTCGTTTTGTGTTCTTGAATCAAAATCAGGCTATGGTACAGCTGGATACGCCCTGTTCATTGCTGTGTATGCTGGGCTTGAGGCAAGTTTTATTATACTCTTCGTGTGCTTTTGTTGTTTTTGCTTCACTGTCACCTTTGATTTTCATTGAGACCATGTGTCCTCAGTTTTAAGCTCTGCTTCCTTTGTCTTAGATACTAGCCATTCCGGCTCTCCCATTGACCATGTCAGCTGGTCTTCTCTTTGGTCCTCTTGTTGGCACCATCATAGTTTCTATTAGTGGAACAGTAAGTTGTTCTATCAGAACTCAGAAAGCTCAATCAAAATCCTTAATATCATCAAGGGACCTCTCCAATGTTCATATATGTTTTTGGCTGTCTAATTTTGTCTTTACTCTGTGTTAGATGGCTGCTAGTGTTGCTTTTCTAATTGCCCGATACTTTGCTCGTGAGCGCATCCTTAAGTTAGTTGAGGACAACAAGAAGTTCCTTGCCATTGATAAAGCGATTGGTGAAAATGGGTTTAGAGTTGTTACTCTCCTTCGGCTTAGCCCTTTGCTTCCTTTCTCTCTTGGCAATTATCTATACGGGTTGACATCTGTGAAGTTTGTGCCTTATGTATTAGGAAGGTCTGTGTTATTGCAACTTATTATACTATTCCCCTATCTTATCCGCTTTAGAAGGGTGATGCTTGTGCTGTGGTTACTTAAGGATCCAATTAGTTCCATTACTGTCCATTTTTTAACTCTGAACTAGGAGTTAATTCATCTTGAAAAGGTGAATTCTGAGTTTACATACTCATTCATGGACCATACTGTTTATGCAGCTGGTTAGGTATGCTTCCAGGGTCTTGGGCTTATGTCAGCGCTGGGGCTTTCGGACGAGCAATCATTGTGAGTTTTATTGTCTTTTAATATAATCGATGTATCCCTCCAAAGAGTAGATACTTTGACAAAAAAAAAAGATGAATAGGCACTTTAGCAAATACATGCATATCTTCTCTAGTCGAGCGTAAGGGTACAACACTAGGATCCACTGAGTTTTTCCTTTGCTGGGTGTGCAATAACTCCTTGTTGATCAGCTCTTGTCTATGGTAGAACTACCATTGAAAAAAAAAGTCAAAAATTGATACTGAATATCGAATGATTAACAAGTACTGAATACGAGGAAGGATTTAAGTGTTAGTCCATTACTTAATGAAGTTAACTAAAATTGATGAAATTGTGTCTGATAGGTAATCTGAATTGTGAATGCTTTGTGATTTTGGCAAGCACCATAATCATCAAGTTGTAATCATTCTATCTATGTGTTGTTTTAGCAAGAAGAATCTAATGTTGGCTTGCCTGGAGGAAACGGCCAGCTTTTAACGCTGGGTCTGGGGCTGTTGGTTACTGCATTGGCTGCAACATATGTGACACGCCTTGCAAAGGTAAAGTCATACTTGTTTGCTTTTTTAGAAGCATAACTTAAAAAAAGAGTCATAGTGAAAGTAACCAAAGATGGATCTCTATTACTTGTTGTTTGTTGCAGGATGCTATAAAGGACATGGAGGAGTAGAGAGATGGTAAAGCAAGACGAAAATACAAGCCATCGATTGGATAAGGTTTTGACTCCCTAGAATTTGTAAAACCTTAACAGAGTATCATGTACTACAGTTAAATGTATTACTTAGGATGAGGTTAATATTGCACCATTATTGTTCATAATTGATATATAAATTTGAGTTTTGTACTTTACATTAATAAAACTGCAAAATGTGAGAATACGCTTCTAGACTTAAAAAATGAAAGTGAGCCTCCGCAAATCAAAAGTACTCGAGTGCGTTTTGAACTAGACAGCCAAATAATCCCCACCAAGAACGTAACTGATGAAACAAAAAAAAATATGTTTTCTAGAGATTTTATTTGTCAAAAGAATATAGCAAAGTAAAATTCCAATCTGAGATTCAACTCTGATTCGTCATGTCCCACCACCATCGATGCACTTAAGCAGTAGATTCCTTGAGGTAGGCGATGAGATCAGCACGCTCTTGAGGCTTCTTAAGCCCAGGGAACACCATCTTGGTACCCGGAATGTACTGCATCATCAGAATGTGGCCATCAATCTCAATGTTAACAACAACTGATGAAACAAAACAGAATGAATCATGGGTATCTAAGACATGGATAATAAATGATTTACCTTCTTGGGGTTGAGCAAGTAATCGTATAAAGTCTTCTCTTCCCATTCAACAGCTTTGTTCTTGTTAGCAGCAGAGTAAGAGTAACCAGCAGTTGTACCAGATTGTCTTCCAAAGAGACCGTTTAGATTGGGTCCTATATATAACCAAAAGTGAAGTGCTCTGAGCAACTATGTTTTCTCAAATCAGTAAAATCACTCACTTAAGACTCAAAAACAACATTCCACAAAACTGTGAAAACTAACACAGTCACGGATTAACTATAGAAACAATCTGAGAAACGATGAATATGTTTGCTTTCATGCAAATTCAAGGAAACGATGAATCTGTTTGCTTTCATGCAAATTCAAGGAAACGATGAATCTGTGATCATCATCGTTGTATCACTCACTACTCCCTACTTAGGACGTAAGAGCAGATTTACAATTAAGCAACAATGTTTTTAATTTCACGCAAATCCAAGGAAATGTGACGCATCACTACTTAGGATTTTGCAAATCTAAATCCACTAAAACAACAAAAACTAAGACAATTGCGCATATATCACAGAGATCAAACGTAAAGCCGAGGAACAACTCACAAAAAGGTAATAAGGAGATACCAACGTTTATAGATCGGATCGATGATCATTTTAAAACTAAGTGAGCTAAATCGAATCAGGGAATATATTGGTGGTACAAATGAAACAAATAGGTTCAAAAAAGCGATGTGAAAAAAAAGAAGGCCTGATAAAAACACGAAGATCCACCATAGAATAGAGAGCTCAAGAGTAAAGAGAGATCGATGTGTAACCTTGTTTGTGACCGGCGCCTTTCTCGACGGTGTGACACTGAGCACACTTGGTCCTGAAGATCTTCTCACCGGCCTTGCCGTTTCCTGGTGGTGCTTCATCAAACGACGCCATTTTTTCCGCTTGACCAACAACGGGATCAGGAACAACCAAGAGAAAATGAATACGGAACTCTCTTCTTCTCTCTGTATTACCTTGGAAGTTTCTTAGGGTTTCTGTGGCACGTTTAGCTCTCTCTCTCTTTAACAATCCGAGGTTCCATTATTAATGGGCCCTAATGGGTTTAGTGGGCTCATATTTATAAATGTTCTTATTACTTCATAGACTCCACTCTCCAGTGCTTGTACTTTGGTTCATCTTAGTTCTTGATTCCCTTCGTTGAGAAATTGTGCAAATTAATAAAACTTGTTTTTGCTCTGTTGAAACATGCTCGTATTAATTTAGGATTATATATATGTACAATCACCAAACTGATGCTCCAGTTTGACCACCCTGAAGCAGGAAATAATGAAATATTCTACTATATCAGTCTTTGATTCTTTTATCCTACTTCTACAAGACGTTCTTCATCTGAACTTTGCTCATGACTAACTGCAGAATCGATCATCTTCGGCTTATTATTATTCACTCCATCTAACACGGAATCTGTTTCCATCAAAGCAAACTCATGAGCCTTTTGCACACCCAATTCACTCAGGAAAGTCTTCACTGTTACAAGCTTGTTCCAAGAACCAGTAGCTGCATACATATCTGCAATCAACATGCAGTGCCCTAAGTGTTCTGGCTTCATCTCCAGCAGTAGCTTATCTGCTGCCCATTCACCAATGTTTGTGTTCCCGTGGATGAGGCACGCTTTCAGTAGAGTAGCACACATGGCACTAGATGGCTCGTACGGTATTTTGCGGAATGTATCTCTGGCTTCAGCCAGGTAACCTGCTCTGCAATAAAGATCAACCATACAAGAATAGTGTTCAAGGCGTGGGTGTATACCGAACACAGGCTGCATCTTCCCAAACCAGCTTTTTCCTTGACCCACTAAATTGGAATGGCTGCAAGCTGATAATACTGCAACCATAGTTACATGATCAGGTTTGATACCGGATCTGATCATCTCCTTGAAACATGCCAAGGCGACTTCTCCTTTACGCAGCATGCCATATCCTTCTATCAGTGAAGTGTATGTCACTTCGTCCCTCTTTCTCATTGAATCATATACTTGCTTTGCAGCTATAATATCCCCGGATTTTGCATACAAATCGACAAGGGAGTTCCACAAGATTAAACAGTCGTTGAAGCTTTGGCGCCTCAGGATGTAGCAGTGAATCTCTTTACCGTGTTGCAGGTTTGCCACCCGAGCACAAAGAGGGAGAATGCTTGCAAGCGTAATGTAATTCGGGTGAAAGCCAGAAAGCAACATCTTCCTGAGCAGGAAAGAGGTTTCTTCCGATCTCATGTCATGCGCATAACCAGAAATGATGGCATTCCATGTACTCAAGCTATTTGCTTCAATCTGCTGAAACACTAAAAAGGCGTGCCTAAGATCACCGCATCTTGAGTACAATGAGATCAACGAATTCTGAACATTGTTAATTTTATGGAAACAACTACTGATTGCAAGACCATGAAGTTCTTTACCCCACCTTAACCCTCCAATGTGTGAGCATGCCTTCAAACCATTAATCACAGCTACATAATCTAATGCCACGTTGTAATGTCTCATATTAACAACACAGTTTAAAGCCCCAACATAATTTCCTATCTGCAAACAACATCCAGCTAATGTGTTCCAAGTTACAACAGTTGCTTCTACACCGGATAGATGCATTCTATCAAAAAGATTAAGAGCTTCCTCCAAATTTCCCTCAGAAGCATAACAGTTAATTACTGCATTCCATGAGACAGCATCCCTTTCAGACATCCTGTCAAACAATTTCCGAGCAATGTCCACTTTACCAAATCTTTTATACATAGATATCAACGCATTGCAGACAAACAAGCTGCGCCTGTGAGAGCTCACCTCAATGGAGCCATGAACCACTCTTCCAGATGCAATATCCAGTAGTACTCCACAAGCCTTGAGAACAGACGGGTAAGTAAATTCATCTGGTCGGATTCCTTTACTAATCATTCGTTTGTAAACAGAAACTGACTCCTCAAACCGTTTGTTCCTAACGTACGAATCAATGAGTACATTCCAATGCAAAGGATGCAAAATGTCAGAGTTTTCAGTAATGATCTGAGCTTCATCAAGGAGATTGAAAGCAGAGTAGAAAGTAACAAGCTTTGGGACCAAAACAGGGTCAAACTCCAGACCCGACGAGATACAATAACCATGAATCTGCTGCCCTGAAGAGAACTCACTAAAATCCACACAGGTCGATAAAAGGGAAGCCGCTGAATGGAAAACGCAGTCATGAGAACCAGACTGGTGACGAAGTAAAGAGAAAGTTCTAAAAGCTTCATAAAATTGACCATGAGCGATGCAATATCTAAATGATTTGTAAAGAGCTTCTGGAACTGACACATAGTGGGTTTTGGGAATTTCTGATATGGGTCTCGGTGGCTGTTTCCAAGATTGAGGAACAAACTTGCAAATTTCGGATACAGTAAGACCTCTGATGAGTATAGAGCGAGAAGGAGAAGACGGCATATACAGTAAGCGGCATATGATCGCCGCAAAGAATGGGTTTTGCTTAATGTTCCAACACTAGTTTGATCCATAAAAACTTATGATCATCCAATTTCGCTTCTCCGTCTGAAAATCAAAGGAAGAAATGTGAAAAAAGTTTAGTTCAAGCATTTCATCGAACAAGTGGTCCGCAAAACATACCATATACAAGTGAAACATGGAAGCACGAGTACATGTAGAGAAGCATGGAAAAAGCAGAGACAGAACTCGAAGGGAAAAAAGAAAAAGACAAGAGAGATTCGGAGACAGCACCGACCGAACCCGACGAAGCGAAGTGGAGGGAGAAGCGGCGCGTGAAGGTTTTGTTAGAAAGGAGAAGAAAAATACTCATTTTGACATTTTTTTTTTGGTAAAAGCTCATTTTTGACATTTGTTCGTTTTTGTGGAGTGTATTAAGATTATTTGGGCCACACGTTTAGATATGTCCACTCCAGGACACGTTCCAGCCCACTAAGCTATAGCGGTATATTTTTCAGCAAAGGGAAAAAAAGAAAAAACTGATTATTAAAAAGTTATAAAATGTCAATTTGTTTCAAGCTAGAAGTGAGGTTGACAAAAAAAAAAAAAAAAGGATTTATAACAGTTGAACATATAGAATTTGAAGTTGACGTGCATGTATGATAATGATGTTACAAATAATTAAATTAAGTTTTTGGTCAATTTCAACGAGTTCTTTACAACAGTTATTTGTTTTACTTATAACTTGATATAAAGTATTTTTAGTTTTATTTTATAAATGTTTACATTGTTTTCTTTTTTTTTGTCAACTAATAACTAAAAAATTAGTTCAAATGAGCCAATTCAAAAGACAGTTGTTTACATACTTAACTAAAAACAAATTTTACATGTCAAAAAATCCGTTTTTACATTTGTATTTCTAGAAATTAGAGATAAAAAAAATTCTTACAACTTTACATTGTCTAAAACTGCATATATATATTTGTTTTAAACCAAAACCAAAAAAAAAAAACGCTAAACGTGGATATTTAGTTTCCTGGTACTAAACACGTATAGAAAACACACTAATCTTGAATAAAACTTTTTGTTGGATCTTTCCTAAACGAGTCGGTGAGTGTGATTAGACGTACGGGGGTCGGTCTGTCACATCATAATCAACTCACAACGATGTCTCATGTCTGTGTAGATGACAGACAATGTAAAGATAAGAATTGGTTACGTCTGTGAACCACATTTAATTGCATGAACGCGAGACATACTGGTTTTTTTTATTCTTCTCCGTGGATGATTCGTGTGAGGAGGAATCCTGGAATGTCTCAGTCCAATATTAATTAAACACACATAGAAGAAGAAGAAGAAGAAGACAAAAAACTACTTTTTCTCCCCCCCCCCCCCCCCAACTAGTTTGGAGCTGTTTGTATCTGTGTGTAATAAGTCCGTAGACGTTGGGTGAGTTTTCATTACAATACTTTGGTCAAATACCAAAAAAACCAAACAAAAAAGACCCGGTTTAGACGGTGGTTATTGACATCACGGATGACGCAGTGTGAACCTAAAAAAAATAAGGACAAAACAAGGAAAGTCTTTAAATCCCACGTGGTTTAACCACAGACGACGACGTTTTCACGTTCTTCATCGGTGGAGACTGGAGAGTTTTGAATCTACTTTTTATTTTTCTTTTCACTGTTCTCTCTTAATAATTAACATGTTTTTTAACTACACGTATCTTTTACATTGAAAAGAAAAGAAAAAAAAAAGTCATTAAAACACAACAGTAAAATACCACTTGATGAAAAGAATTTGACTGTAATTTAACAAATACAATGAATTTACTATTAAGACACACACACATACAGCCAAAGAGAAAGAGAAATTAAAAGTTACAACTTGTAAAAGAACTTGGACCGGTCAGGGCACTTGTCAAATTGAAACCACACAAACACAAAAAGGAAGGTCATACTTTGACCAGTTGATTATTTCCTCTAGATTTTTTTTTCCCTAAAAGCTACTTTTTTAGTTAATATAAATTTTGGTCAACCTCATTCTCATTCATATATAATATTGATATCTATAATTTTGACTTTCATCAAACTTCAACGTATAAATAGTCTTCGAATCTTCAAACTTTATCATAAACACACACAACACTTCAAAAAATCTCTTCTTCTTCTTCATCGGTCTCATAAAAAATGGATTACAGAGAATCTGGAGAAAGTCAATCCAAGTACAAAGGGATCCGCCGCCGGAAATGGGGCAAATGGGTATCGGAGATCAGAGTTCCGGGGACTCGTGACCGTCTCTGGTTAGGTTCCTTCTCAACAGCTGAAGGAGCCGCCGTAGCACACGACGTAGCTTTCTTCTGTTTACACCAACCTGATTCTTTAGAGTCTCTTAACTTCCCTCATTTGCTTAATCCTTCTATCGCTTCCAAAACCTCGCCGAGATCTATCCAGCAAGCTGCTTCTAACGCCGGCATGGCCATTGACGCCGGCATCGTCCACAGTAATGGTTTTGTGTCGGGGAACACCGCGTATAGTGATACGACGACGTCTTCTGAGAGTGGTGGAGCTGATGAAGTGGAGCCGTTGAATATTTCAGTGTATGATTATCTGGACGGTCACGATCACGTTTGATCCAAGTGTCGGAGACATTGCACTAAAGCACCAAAATGGTTGTGAATATACATTTTTAAGGTTTTGATTAATGTTTGGTTCACCGACTTCGTGAAGTTTGGGTCCATTGTATCCGATTCTATTAAAGATAATGTTTCGTGATTGAAGATTTGAACTTTGGTATTCAAAATATTTTTGTAGGATACAAACATATGTAATCTGATCAGCTATTACATTATTATTCGATACGAAAATACATGAGCGAAGCTGCGAAAGCAATCTTTATAATTGCGATCTCTCATCTGACAAATCTACAAGAGTTCTCCTCTTAAGTCACTGATTTCTCTCAGTCTCATTTGTAAAGTCTCTGTTTATTGAAACGTGCCTTTCTCTTTTAGCCCATCTATCAAGATTGACCGCCAAATTGCTTATGGAGATCCCTGAAGGATACCGTGGCTGAACCTCTTCGCTTCGCCTGCTGGTGAGACGAATGTTCTCTCCATCCTGTCATGTAAATCACCTACACAGGAATGCCCCAAAAATATACTTTAGGCCTCAAATGTGATCCAAAATGCAGGATTACGCACTTTTAGCTTTAGCCCACATTGTTTCTATCCATACGATAAGACATAGACTGCGTCTTTCTAGTAAAGCCTATATTGGCTATGGATTGTAGATAAACAACTTGAAAACCGAAACTAGTTAATGGTTTTTCCATAGTTGAGATAGTTCTGGAGCTATATGGACAGACCTGAAATGTAGCAGGTATAGTGCCATCCTCTGTAGCAAACATTGAGTCATATATGGCTGCAGTGGCAAGAGCAGTTTCACGATTCAATATCTGTTTTTGTAATCAAGAAGAGGAATATTGGTTAAGTAATTGTATAATAATAGTCACAATCGTGGAAAGTCTTACAGAAGAAGAAACCAACCTTGTTTCTCTGGAGAAGAGCATTGGTTTCACCCATTGCACGAAGATGCTCTATAAGATCCAACGCTGAGTAGAAAGATATAAACAAAGACGCAAATCAGAAGATATCCGTAGAAGATGCACGTTTACACCAATGATGAATTACAAATGTGGAATAGTTTACCACTCTTGTATTTAACTACGTATTCATCGACGTCAACACCAGGAAGACTAAAACCCGCCCTGGTCAAGAGATTCCCTGCGTCCCTAACCTGAAAGAAAGAGAAGCCATGTTCTTTCACTATAAATCGACTTTTTGGTTCTGCCATCTACGAAATGCAATTTCCGCTATATATTCAAGCAGGAAAGAAATAAAGTGAACTTCCTAAGATTCACAAACACACCTGTGCTAAAGGCGACAGCCGGGGACTAATACCTCCTTCACGCTCCATGTGAGCCAAAGTGCATGCTATTCTCAGCTCCCTGATAAAGAATTTCAACACATGAAGAATAATAAGAAAATGGGAGATGCATTCAATAATGAGTCTTGATTTGAAACGAAAGGCAGGACAAACTTTAAGGTTTCTCCGCCAAGAATTGCTGCTAAAAATAGGCCATCAGGCTTCAGCGCTAGTTTGCACTGCAGTATTACGATCATAAGGCAACACACCATTAGCATTGCACTGAGTACAACCCATTTCATATAAACAAACAAAAGGAACAAAAACGGGAAAACCTGGATCATGGATCCTGGAAGATCATTTGTCCAGTGAAGCCCCAACGAACTTATTATCAAATCAACCGAACTTTGCATACAACATTTACCAGATGTTAGTAGGTATAGAACTCTAGTTGAGGGGCGGCAAAGGATAAAAAAAAAAAAACAGGTTTTACGATAGCGTTGTCCTAGTTACCTTTCTTTGATTGGCAGAAACTCTTCATCACCAACCAAATACGACATTTCAATGGTTTTATCGAGTGAATCCTCTTGAGCATCTCTACATGATTTAATCATGTCATATGAGGTATCCATCATGATAAGCTTTTCAATCCCACCTGTGCAACAAAGCCAAAATGAAGATCATCATTCACAATGCAGATGGAAATAAATCTAAAACCAGGACAGCCAAGAGATATATAACTAACCGCGGCCACGTATTAACCGCTTAACAGCACCAAGAGATCCTCCCAAACAAAATGCAGTGGGAAAAGTCTTCTTACAATCCTTAGAAAGAAGGAAACAAGATCACTAAACTTGATCAAACAAGGATATAGAAATAAAGAAATGAAGCCTCAGGAGAAGCTCAACACTCTTTTAACTAGCAGCTACGGCTATTGCTAATAGCTCTCTACTCTCTTAGTGCGATCAGACATAAAACAAAGAGTACCTCTAAGCGGTCAAGTAGATTGTCTGCAACAGCGTCGAAAAAGGAATCCTTTTCCTGGCGAGAGGACAGCCACGCTGCTCGATCACGCTTCAATCGAAAGGCAAAAATTATAAAATCAGAAACATGGAAATGAAATCTGGATTAACAAATAAAAAAAGGAGGCAAAAATGTAAGATGAATTCGAAGACTACACATGTATTCGCTTGAGGTCTCGATCAAAGATCTTGACTTTGGAGCTGTTCTGCTGAAACTCACTGTCACCGCCATAACCACCGGCCGTAGAGAAAGAGAGAGAAGCGAGAAATGTATGAGACTGCTTCGTAGATCTTTCGGATACTCTCCTAAGCAGCCCAATTCGTCCGTAGAGAGAATTGATCCTCCGCATCTCTCTCTCTCTCTCGTTCTTAGCTACACCGGAAAACGTCGGACGGGGTTCTGGGTTTGGTTTGAAGAGACGGTAGATTTCTCTGTTTTTCATTTTGGGTCCTTAGTGTTTATCTATATTCCATAAATCCTCACTTTTTGTTTTCAACAAAAATCCTCACTCTTTAAAACGTTTTAAAATTTAACCCTCATAAGTTATAATGACCCTTAGATTGGTAAGCCTTTCCTGACCAAATAGCTGGTCGGAGATTCATGGAACGTTCACCATTGCCAGAGGTTAAAAAAAGCTACTCAAGACTGTTCGTTGAGTCCATCAATTGTTAAAGGCTTTGTTGGAACCAATTTACGGCAGCAGAACAGAGTAACTGTAGATGGATCGTTGCATAACCACTGTGATTCGCACTTTACACTTTACATTGTATATAACGCAAGGTCGTGTGGTTAAGATTTCTCTCTGATTGACAAAAGTGTTATCGATTTGGATGGTTCTCTATTCGTTTTTAGAAGATAGAAATCAGGAATAAATTGCCACTCAAAACACAGGAAAAATGTACAAGCCAAAACCTTGAAGAGAACTTTGTAATAACAGATACACTTTAAATCTATGAGAGATGCACACACAAGAGGTGAGTAAAAGAGTGATACCGATGATCTCTGAATTTACATGATCACACACGAACATGTCCTTTGTTGTCCCGTCTCCCATTCGTCGTCTGATAATCCCATCTCACTGCAACCCAAAATCAAGTTTGTTTCTCGGAAGTCAATAACAAACCAAGAGAGGACCATCTGGTATAAAGAAAAGGAAACAATGCTAAACAGTCTATGCAAAAACTATGCTGCATAACAAATAATAGATGTATCGAGTTTGCCCGGTGCAAAGCACAAGTGAAACTCTGCATGAATTAAAGGATTTGGATTTTGAAGCATAGAGGTTAAGTCACATCAGTATTCACGTTAAGGATCCTATCTGCATACCTTGGCTCAAATTCTCTAACTTGAGTGAGTTCACTACCACAAGCATCTGGCCACTGAACTTTCCGCCTTGCCATGTCACCAGTGAGATCGCTACCATCAACGCTTAACGTCTCATATTCTTTTATATCCTCAAGAGAGCGTGGTTCCGCTACAGAGGGCCTCTTCAAGCTGCTCCTCAATGACAGTTTAAAAGCTTCTTTGCTGCTGTTGTTATCAGCTTCACTTATGTGATCTTTGCCTTGTTCAGAAACAACAAGGCCAGACTCTGGTGTTGATATTTCAGGATGCTGCTGCTGCACAGGTTCTACTTTAAGAGGAGATGGGGTCTCAAGTCCCGCGGAAGCGCCACCAAAACAACTAAAGGAAGCAGCGCAACCGCGGGAAACTCGGTTCTTAATGGAATCCAGCTGAAGAATAGAGTCGTCAGCCTCAGGCTCTTGGTCAACCACCCGGTACTGATTCCACGGCACAACTCTCATGGGCCTATCTCCGTCCTTATCACCAGAGAAAAGAAGGGTCAATCCCTTACTATACCCAGACGCGGATGCTGAGAATAAACCCCCTCCTTCTACTGCCAGTAACATTAGTTACTCTATTCATCTGGCGTACATTAAAAGCTGACAGTGTCCACCTTCCTGCTCACCCCAAGCACTAAATATAGTAGGATTCTGGAAACCTGTGTTACAGATTCAAATTCAAAAAACCTGAAGCTTACAAAGACAAAATCAAACTACAGTAACTGAAAATTCACAGGTAAAGCATAACACACACAACATCTTAGTTGACTGGAACCACTCGAGTGAAAAAAAAAAAAAAAAAAAGAGTTTAGAGGATCTTAATATATGAATCACTTGAAACTCAAAAGCATGGATCAACCTCAATCATGGAGGAGATCTAAAACGCCAAAAGAAAGAAAAACAAAAATGGTAACAGAGATAGAGGAACGAAACGAAATGAGATTGGATCTGCAACGGTAAGTTGTTATTTAGATGTAGAAGAACACTCGTGAATTGATGATAAAGAGAAGAAGATCTACAAAAACATCTTTCGAATCATCAGCAAACAACTGAAGAAGAGTTTAAACATGCATCTATCTAACTACTTCAACCCACCGAAAGAATACGATCTCAGTTTAAAGCTCGTCTTCATCCTCGCCACTACTTTTTCCTGGTTTTTTCTCGGGAAAATTTGCCAGGAAGAAAAAGAAAAAAAAAAAAGTGAATCTAAGGGAGGAAAATTCACCTGAGGAATCAAGCTCGGGAAGAGAATCGATGACTTTGGTCAGCGCCGGCGGTTAAGATCGTCACTTTCTCTCTCTATCTCCCGTTTCTCGCGTGAATCAATGGGCGATGAGAGAGAAGAGAGTGAACAAAGAGAGAGAGTAACATGAAAATCATATTTAATTCCAGTGTTTAAAGTTACTGATAGTGATTATACCGATAACGATGCATTTGCGCATGATAGTGACAGCACCTTACACTTTTGTAATTTCTATGTACACGTAACTGAGGATTTTGGTAATATTTGCTTTTATTCAAGCAGATTCATAGCTCAAGGTAACTGACAAAAGAGATCGATTTGAAAATATAATGAAGAGAGTAAGAACAAAGGGGGAACAACATAGTTTTCGATTTAAATTGTATATATTGTAAAAACCTAAAGACCGTCTTTGATGAAAGAAAAGACCTCTTAAACTATCTCTTCTGCAAAAAACAATTCAAAACAAAGCAACGCCATTGAACCAAAGCTCGTACTGCAACACTCAACCAACAAAACTCTCTTTTAACGCTTCTTGGAGACACCAACAGTCTTTCCACGGCGACCAGTGGTTTTGGTGTGCTGTCCACGTACACGGAGACCCCAGTAGTGTCTCAGACCACGGTGGTTTCTGTTTACATTCAAGTTACAACATCAGTCAGAGAACTAACAAACTTCTATTGATTGAAGCCATAATGTAATAATATCAAACAACATGAGACAGACTAGAAAACAGTAAGAACAAATCAAACACGATTGTGTATTGATCTTCTCCAATCTAGCTTGGTAAATGACTAAGCATAAAAATTTACTGATATCGTTACCAAAAATTACAGAATGTGTATCAAGTGTGTTTACCTGATCTTCTTGAGGCGCTCAAGATCATCTCTCAGCTTCATGTCCAGAGCATTGGAAACAACTTGGGAGTATTTCCCATCCTTGTAGTCCTTTTGCCTGTTCAGGAACCAGTCTGGGATCTTGAACTGGCGAGGGTTAGCAACGATTGTCATGAGGTTATCAATCTCTGCAGCGCTTAGTTCTCCAGCCCTGAAAATTCAGGCACAAAACCATATTAAGGACGCCAAGAAAATATCACAGTAGACCAACTCCTTCAAGAATTTCACTAAAACTTGTATCACATTTCTTAGAATCTAATAAACAAACCAGAAAGAGCAAGTTCAATTTCTAATCATATATCAGCTACATCTTCAACAGAGTTATTCAGAGCCTTTCAAAAATCACAATCCCTATCAAAAGAATCCCCAAGTTAGATGAAAGTGGTAGAAGCAAACCTCTTGTTCATGTCAACATCAGCCTTCTTGCACACGATGTTAGCCAATCGCCTCCCAATACCCTTGATCGAGGTCAAGGCAAACATAATCTTTTGCTTCCCATCGACATTGGTGTTGAGCACACGCAAAATGTGCTGAAACTCCTCGTTGGCAACTAGAGACTACACACAAACGCACGAGCAAAACTAGATCCGTCAGTAACAAATCGTAAAAGGGAACACAACCTTACAGCTTACAACTCCAATGAATCAATACAGAATCCAATACATAACTAGCAATGAAAAAAAGAGCAAATACGCGCTAATTGCAGGACGAGCAATCGTAGAAAACAGAAGATAATCAAGGGAGGAGAGCTGAAGAACGATGATCGTACCATTTTTGGATGCCGAGAAAGATTGCGAGAGGAGGATGAAGCTCTTTTACAGACTCTGGAGGCGCCACCACAGCGTTAGCTCAGCTCTGTTATAAGTTATAAGCGGCGAACTACTTTAGGGTTTTCGAACCTAATATGAAGCTCTCGCGGTTAATGACTAATTTACCCTTTATTTTTTTTGTTCAGTACTTTTCTGTTATTCACTTCAAAATTAAAATGTACACAATACACACTTACACAGTATGTACAACACTAATCAATCATCCCGATGTTTTAAATCTAGCTTGACAGGACTGTTTGTACACCTCTAACCATAGTATCATATTAATGAACGAGAAGAGAAAATCTTGCATACAAGTTGAGAAAGAAGCTATACATTACGATTTAGATCCAGTGAAGTTGAGAAAAAGGGTTCATCTACTTGGTCATTTAAAAATGTACAAAGAAGAGGTTGAGTTATATAAGACCTCGAGCGAGGGCAAATCCAACGCTTGTGGGAGTGATTGCGTCAGAGTCACTCATCATACATATTACATACAAGTACAACAAGCTATATATATTTTCTTCTTGGTCTACGTACGTCCAAATATTTTTGTCTAGAGAACTAAAAATTACCAAAAACAAAAGTGGGACGCTCGTTATTGGGACAAGGATATGGTACAGCCTAGTTCTTGAGCCGCGGTGTCAAGAAACTGAGTAGGCATAGTTGTGGAGAGCAAACTGTGAGCTTCCCAGTTCAAGCATTTTTGGATATCGGCTTTCCAATCTATTGTGGCGGCGTTGAAGAAGCGATAGGACGGGCTATGCATTCCGTTCTTCTCTGTTGTTGGCAGTTTTGGAGTTACCTTAATAGGTATAGAGCTTTGATTCATGATGTCGCGTAGTACTGACGTGCTTAAGGCACGTACATGTGCACTTGGGTGTGAAAGGCACCGTATTGTCGCTGGTAGACGACACTGCATAGAAGCAAACAGATGTGAACAAGGTTAAGCACAGTCCAGTTTTGATTGTCTAAAACTGGATGAAGGTTGGGCACTTTGGTAACTATTTCTGACGAACTTGAAAGACGATTATTTGGAAAAAAAGAAAAAAAATTGTAACTTATGCAAAGCTAAGAGATGGTTTAGACTTTAGAACCCTAAGTTCCCTCAGCTGACAGGTTGTTTCTAAGAGAGAGTTTCACTCATGGCCATGAGTATTTGTGCGAGCTGGTATGGCTCTGTTTAATTAATGCTTACCTTCAATAGATTGGATAAACCGTCGACCACTGCTAGTCCAGATGGTCCCCAAGCTAGCACCGGCTGTATTGCTCTGGCAGTGGCTTCAAGTAGCTGCAAAAAATTTAAGTACAGTGGAATCAGAAACCGATTTTCACTCCAGCTTGAGGAAGGGCACTGTAGAGGAATCTATAAAAGTGGAGTACCTCGAGTTGGGGTAGTGTACAAGCTTCTCCATCAACAAGCATTCCATCAGTTGCCCTCAGAAGAAGATCTGATGCACTTGCCAGAATCACCAGTGACTCAGGCCTGTCATGATTGCGCATGAGTTCCACCAACACTTTAACTATTCGTTGGTTGATTTTCCACATTTTCTGGCCTTCCTCATCATCTTTGGCGATCCAAGGCTGCAACTCTCTCTCAGCCTGTAAATAACACAAGACCATTTCAGATTAAACAGATACTAGAGCATTAGTGTTTTGCAGAAAACTTTCCAGCTTAGTGTTTTTATAATCTGCTATTCATGAAAGATCGAATTGAGTGAATGTGAATCAAGCATTATATAACATGAACACAAGCAATAGATTTTCCCGCAGTTCTTAGTCATTTATACATGTGTCGCATTCCTGGCAAATTATATTAAAAAGTCAAGAGAAATTTGTACCTGAAGAACAACTGCTGCAGCTGCTTTTGCCGGCGTTGCAGATACGACATTGCATAGCGCATCAACAACCTGGTATATTAAAACTATGCTCAGTAAATGAAATCGAGCCCCTTGAGAACTTGAATTAGAAAAGAACCAAAAGAATATAGAGGAAACTGTAAGCGAGCTTGGAAATAGAGATGCTACCTGTCTCCATCCTTGTTGTGCAGAGGTGCTTTCTGCGGTGGGCTGGATTTCAGGCGCAGCGATCAGTTTGTGCCATAATAATGAAACAACGGAGAATGACAGCTCTGGTTTCTCTGCAAGCACTGACCTCAATAGCTTTTGTGTACCACAATAGAACCCTGCAAGTCTATCAGCTGTGAGGAAATTTGCTAGATCAGAAGCATCCAAGAGGAATTCTTTGATACCCTTCTCCGACGGTCTCCCTGATCCTTCATCTGAATGTCTAGCGTACTTATGGTTGCCTCTTGGATTCATTTCAGTCCGTGAGGCGGATGTCACTGCTGTATCAAAGCATGAGGTGCTCGCAGATGTGTTTTGTTGTTTCCAGTTTAAACAGGTAAGAGAGTCCTTCTGAACCGGTGTATTCTTAAGGTATGCTTCCAAGGGTTCAGCTTTGTCAACAATGGATGCAACAACTTTGCTGTGAACATCAATGAGGTTATACAATGATGACGCTCTTTTATGGATTTCCTTGTCCCACTTACATCTCATCAACCCAGACAATGCGTGCGTCAAGGCTTTTGAGCGTCTGAACAGTTCGGAAATATGAGCTGCAACCATTGCCGCAGCAACTATCTCACTAGAACTGTAACTCCATGGAGTTCCCACAGACGACGGTTTCAATGAAAAGAGTGCCTCTAGAATTGCCAAAATTCGGCGTGTATGATTAATTGCCGAGTCAATCCCAGCTCCATACTCGTTAGTTGACCCGTTTAACTTTACAGGCTTTGTAATAGTTCCAGCCATGGCAGAATTAGAAAATTTCCCCCCTCCAGAGATCATAGGATAAAGCTGAACCTCACAGGCAAGAGCACAAACAGCAGCAAGAACGTATGAATCAAATGCTGCCACAGGTCCCTGTCCTTTAACATTCCTACTTTTACGGTTAGAAGTTTGATTGTCAGATACAGGATTCGCCTCGATATTTTCAGCAGTACTAGCATATTCGCTTCTAGGTCTCTTGCTACCACTAGACTGCGCTTCATGGCTAACACAAACAGTCAACACAACAAAAAGTAGGCGTGATGCTAATTCCACACCAGCGCATGACTCTAAAAAGAGAGCATGGACCATAGCACGAAGCTCAGCCATAGCAAGGTTTTTGGTTGCTGATCTTGTTGTAAAACTTGATCTAGCTTTTCTGGTATGATCCCTAGAAGATTCAGGCGGAAAGGTTCTACTGAGGATTGTTTCGACAGTGGCAACAAATATTTTCATCAAGCATGCTTCCGAAGGACTCCCCCGTGGAAGATATTCAAGTACTTTAAGGAGTGGAATGTATAGATTCCACGACAAGATCGGAGGTTGCAGTGGGGTGGCAACTATGATTTCGGGAAGATCAACCGCTGAAGAATTTAAAGGGATCAATCCGTAAGCAGCTT